TTAGGTTTTGATATTTGGGATTTCTCTGAGTGGAAGACATCTAAAACAACTGCAGAGGAAATGTTGACTTACATGCAGAGAGCAAATTTGATGGTTTTACTCTCAACTTCGCAGCTCTCTGTTTTGCATGCATTGATTTCCGTCTTGATACTTTACGAGGATAATGTAAGTCTCTTTGTTCTAATAAGCTTTTCTGAGCCTTATCCCATCATAACACATTTATGGGCTAGATTGTTTTACCTTTCCAGCATTTAACGTTTTAGTTGATAGCTGACTTGAAGATACTAGCCGGTAGAAATGTTGCATGTCCCTCTTTGGGGATCTTAATTTATGATTTAGGTACATCTAAATGCTACACCTTATGTGCAGTCTCTTGAAGAAAGTGCAGCTGCGGAAAGGAAAATCCCTTCTCGAGTCACTCTTTCAAGCATTGATATAGTATGCCGAAAATTCTGCACCACAGTTGATTCACTTGCCTCTCTCTGGGATGCACCCAAGATTGTGTTTGATATTCTTACAGCACAGGCAGACTTGCTATCCCGCCTCTTGAAATCCGCAAAGAAAAATCTTTCATTATCTATATGTGCACTTGTCCTGAGAAATGTTGGGCCTAGCCTCAAAATCCTTGGTAGTTTGAGGCATTCAACTGCTATATTGAAGAAGACGATAAACCTCCTGCTTGAGGTGCTGCTCCTGGTTGTGGGTTTTGGTTCAGACAACTCAAACTCGAGTGGGATGGGACATATGGTGCTAGCCAAAGATTTTGCAGAAATATCTGATGCTACAATTGGATTATTACCCCTTCTCTGCAACTTCATGGGGAATCCCGAGTACTTGACTCTCTGCCTGACCACAGTAGACTTGATTCTCAGAACTTTTTTGACGCCAGAGACATGGTTCCCTATTATACAAAGTCAACTCCGCTTGCAGCATGTTATTCTACAGCTTCAGGATAAGAAATCCACAGCATCGCTTTCAGCAATACTAAAATTTTTCTTAACTATTGCTCAAGTTCATGGCGGTGCTCAGATGCTTCTAAATTCTGGATTTTTCTCGACTTTAAGAGCTTTGTTAATGGAGTTTCCGGATGGAATGTCTACTTTGGTATCTGACAATGAAAAGGGCTCGCTGCTAGAAAAGACAGAAAAACCTCAGCATATCTGGGGAATCGGTTTGGCTGTGGTTACTGCCATGGTTCATTCTCTAGGATCTGTTTCTGCAGGGGCTGATATTGTGGAGAGTGTCATATCTTACTTTTTCTTAGAGAAAGGTTACATGATCTCATACTATCTCGCTGCACCAGATTTCCCTTCTGATGATCGTGACAAAGTGAGACCACGAAGTCAGCGGACGTGGACTTCCCTTGCTTATCTGAGAGAAACCGAGCATACTCTCCTTCTGATGTGTGCATTAGCTAGCCATTGGAGATCATGGGTTAAAATTATGAAGGATATGGATTCTCCATTAAGAGAAATGACAATACATCTCTTGGCCTTTATCAGCAAAGGTGCTCAACGCCTTAGAGAGTCTCAGAGTTACACATCTCATCTGTTATGCCCTCCAGTAGTAAAAGAAGAGTTTGATTCCTGCAAAAGACCATCTTTCATCAACAGCAAGCACGGATGGTTTGCCCTAGCACCTTTAGTTTGTGTTGGGAAACCCAAGATCTCTGCAGTATCAATCTCGACTGCTCTAGTTATCAGGGGACACACTACAGAACATCCTGGGTCTGTTCCTCAATCGCAGTTTTCAGACTCAGTTGCGATACAGATATATAGAGTGGCTTCTCTATTGTTGAAATTTCTGTGTTTACAAGCAGAGGGTGTTGTTACAAGGGCAGAGGAAGTGGGATATGTCGATCTTGCTCATTTCCCTGAGCTTCCAGAGCCGGAGATTTTACATGGTCTACAGGTACGAAAACTCGAGAACAAGAACAGTTAGTTACACTTTGTTTTTTTAATCTTCTCTGCGCCTGGTACTACAGTGTGTGCGTATATAAAAATGCAGGACCAAGCCACGGGAATAGTTGCTGAGCTTTGTGATAATTACAGATCCAAAGAGGTTCCAGATGAAGTAAAGAAGTTGTGCCTTTTGCTGATCCAAACGACAGAGATGTCGTTATACTTGGAACTCTGTGTTGTTCAGGTTTGCAGGATCCATCCTGTATTTGGGCGTGTGGATAACTTCTCCAAAGACTTGAAAAAGCTAGTGAAAGGTAACAAGTGTTTCTTCCCTAGAATTATTGACAAGGCTATGTTGATGATCTGGGATTTGCACGATCAATATTATTTGCTTGGAAAAAGTGAAAAATTGTTTAGTAACATTTGCTGCTTCTTTTCTTTTTGTATGGATCAGCTGCAGAAGTGCATGCGTACTTAGAAACGTCCATGGATTCCCTGAAGAAAATAGCTGCGTTTCTGTATCCCGGATCGCTTTAGGAACGAAACTAACATGAGGACCGGGCTTGAATTTGGTACGTATGTTTTAGATATCTTCCTACATGAGTGATTAAACCGGCTATTGTACCATTGGTATATGTTAGTCATATAGTAGTATTCTCTTTATTTCAAAATCATAGCTTTTAAAAATGTTCGGCTCATTGTGTCCACTCCTTTTGGGCCGCTCGTTGCTTTCATTTATTTAGTTGCTCACCTCTCAACAAATTCTTTTGATTGGTTCTCTCTCACTCTAGACCGCACAAAGTGCAGTTCCGAATAATTCTCACTCAACTAACGTTTGATAATCACCACTATTCTAGATCATTCTGATTTTCGAATTCATTCTACTCTTGAACACGTTTACATATTATCATAAAATTTCAACTACAAAAAAAAAAAAACACACACTTGTCCCAGCTAATATTTATGAAGTTATTGTAAGTGATGCATATGCGTTAAACTAAAGTTAACGTTTTCAAAATTTTGGTATTTGAGTTAACGGTAAATAAAATTAATTATAAGAGAAATTAGGGTGTTGGTTTTGAAACGTATGGAATTGTGGGACACGTGTGGGACGTTGCTCGAGAAGGGGCATATGCCAAGTCTGAGATACTCCAACGCACTGACTGACTGACCCCTAATTAACCGGTGGTCAAACTCTAACCTAACCACGGTTAAGATTTTAAAGCCGTTGAGATCTGTCCACGTGTAATAATCTTGTTTTTGTGTGAGATATTCGCCGCTTCCCTTGGCCGGCTATAAATCCCAAACCTCACCGCTAAATCCTCTATTCATCATCCACAACAAAACCTCTTCTTCTTCTTCAGTCTTTTAGACGTTTCACTGAAACACACACCACAACAACCAGCAATGGCGTTCCCTAAGGTTTACTTCGACATGACGATCGACGGCCAGCCCGCGGGAAGGATCGTGATGGAGCTGTACACCGATAAGACTCCCAAGACTGCCGAGAATTTCAGAGCCCTCTGCACCGGAGAGAAAGGAGTTGGCAGTACCGGGAAACCCCTTCACTTCAAGGGATCTAAGTTTCACCGTGTGATCCCTAACTTCATGTGTCAGGGAGGAGATTTCACCGCCGGGAACGGAACCGGCGGTGAGTCGATCTACGGGACCAAGTTTGAGGACGAGAATTTCGAGAGGAAGCACACCGGACCTGGAATACTGTCGATGGCCAACGCCGGTGTAAACACGAACGGATCTCAGTTCTTCATCTGCACCGTGAAGACCGATTGGCTTGATGGTAAGCATGTGGTGTTTGGGCAGGTCGTGGAAGGCTTAGACGTTGTGAAGGCGATCGAGAAGGTTGGGTCGTCATCTGGAAAGCCGACGAAGCCTGTGGTTGTTGCCGATTGTGGTCAGCTCTCTTAGGATCTTCTCATCATCCTTAATTTAGCATCATCATCGTTGTCGTCGTGGTGTCTCTATAAGCTTTTGCTTTTGCTATGGAGTCTTTAAAATTTGTAGTCATAAGTTTGGTGTGTTCTCATGGGAACATATTAAAACTTGCCCCTTTATTAACTACCATAAATAATGAGCACTCTTTATTATCGTATTCTCTAGTTTGCTTATAATATAGTATGCTCTAATTTAGGTTACCAATTTCGTCTTTGTTTAACTACATTCCCATGGGAACAGATAAAAACTTGGCCCAGTTTGTTTGTTTGTTCACCTTTTTCTGAGTAATGGAGGACGTTTATTATCCCCTGACAGTACACCACCACCAGGTCTTGGTCTAAAAAGTAACACACGTGATTCTGTATAGAGAGAGAGAACCTAATCAATGACAATAATAATAAAGACCAGTTGGCCTGGTTCATAGATCAAACTTTAGGGGGGCCTATAAATTATATTGTGCCTTCCTACTCACTCGTTTTTCCCACCTGAAGGACGGCCCATGAAATCAGGCCCCAAACCAGTTTTAAAACCCACACGATTTTTCTGGAGACTAAGATGGATGAGGGAGAGTAGACTAATCATATCTTTCTACAACTAAATTTGACGAAGCCCTCTAATAATTATATGCAGCCAGCAGGCACGCATTACGCATATGCTTTTTGATTAAGATTTTCAGAATAAAATAATTTGTGAGGAAGCCTAAAGAAGTCAATACGTGTTAAAGACGTCTACCCATTTTATTCAAATTTTGTTCTTATATATATAATAATGAAATAATATAGCAGTTGCTGTGATTATTTGTTGGTTAATGAAGAATCCTCTATCGTGTATCAGGAATATTCCAAAAAGTTTTGAAATTTTAACGTAAAGAAGTCATTTTAAATAAATTAACAACAAAAAGTTGCGGATGATGGCCTTTCTTAAAGGTGGTACGCGAAGCAGCAGATTATTAATTTTAAAAATCGCAAGTGCCCCCTTACCTCTTGTCGTTAGTTAATATTTCCGACAAGACGATGAGCTGTCGTCTCCGGAGAGGAGGGGGAATTTCTCTCTTTCTCTTTCTCTTTCTCTCTCTCTCTCTCCCGTTTGAATTCGATTTCAATTTCACCACAACTCCTGCGATTCTCCTTCCTTCCTCCTGCGTCCCTAGCGGGGAAATCACGATTTTGTGATCATCAAAATTAAAAAAAAAAAAAAACAAATAGATGGTGTCGGACAATGAGATGGGTCTGGCGTTAGCTGTGTCGTCGAGTGTCTTCATAGGTTCCAGCTTCATTTTGAAGAAGAAAGGTCTCAAGCGTGCTGCCGCTAATGGCACCCGCGCTGGTTCGTTACGAATCTTTAGTTTTTCTTTAGAATCTTCTTTGTTGCTTTTACCAATGCCCCCATGCTCCAGAATTTACTCTCTGCTTGGTTATTGGATAGATGTGGGTGATTATATCAATTTTGAACTACCCATCTCCTCAATTGGGGTTTTGCTGTCTGAATTCATTTGGTAGACGTTGCAATGGTTCGATGTTGGAACCCAACTCTCAAGTTGGGTTCTAGGTGTCTGAATTACTCACCTTTTGTTAGTGTCCTCTAATATACAGATTATCGTCTATAGATTTCTTATGCACTTTGTTTGAGAGTATTGCCCATGTCAAGAAATGGGATTATGACTTGCTTGACGAATGGTGCAGGGTTCGGAGGTTATACATATTTGTTAGAGCCACTTTGGTGGGTAGGCTTGGTAACAAGTGAGTTCAAAACCATCTTTTATTTCCATATGACTCTTTCTTTAATCTAATTCTAAATGTAAGATTTTGTTACGCAGTGACTTTTGGAGAAATTGCTAACTTTGTGGCTTACGTTTATGCACCTGCTGTACTAGTCACTCCTCTTGGTGCATTAAGTATAATCATCAGGTATGTACACTAATTACAACTTTTTGAGAGGTACTTCACCTTTTCTCTGACTAACCTTTTCGTTTTTCAATGGATCCTATAGTGCTGTTTTGGCACATTTCCTGTTAGACGAGAAACTTAGGAAAATGGGAGTTTGGGGATGTGTTTGTTGCATTGTGGGCTCAGTTATGATCGTCATACACGCACCTCAGGAGCAGACTCCCAATTCTGTTGAAGAGATCTGGAAACTAGCAATGCAACCAGGTTTTGCTCTTTGTAACTCTCTCTCTCTTACACACACACATATTGTGTGTTTTTGGATCTAGAGAATAACGTATACTCCTTCTCTTTTTTTGTATGAGACAGCTTTTCTAATTTACGTAGCCATATCAATGTCGATTGTCCTGGCTTTGATTCTCTACTGTGAACCTCTCTGCGGCCAAACCAACATTCTTGTTTATATCGGAATTTGTTCATTGATGGGTTCTCTTACAGTAAGCATCCCGGATATAATGTTGAGATCTATTTCTTTTCCCATTTTTGTTTTCTAAAGGTTGTAATCTCATATAGGTTATGAGCATAAAGGCTGTGGGGATTGCTATAAAGTTAACATTTGAAGGGATAAACCAGATTTGGTATCCAGAGACTTGGTTTTTTGCCATGGTTGCAGCAATCTGTGTGGTTATGCAAATGATTTACCTCAACAAGGTAAGAAGAACTTGTGCATGTGTCTGTGTGATGTAGTGTTGAGCACTTTGGCCAATGGTTAATTGTGTAATATGTTTTGTTTTGCCAGGCGCTGGACACATTCAACGCAGCAATTGTTTCTCCAATTTATTATGTGATGTTCACAACACTCACAATTGTTGCTAGTGCAATCATGTTCAAGGTAAAGAAACTTTAACTAAACATTTAAGAGTAATAATCCTGTTTCAAGATTGTCAAAGGAAAAACAGTTAATGAATCACATTTTTAATAGGACTGGAATGGGCAAAGCACAGACAGCATAGCCTCTGAGATTTGTGGATTCATCACAGTGCTTACAGGAACAGTTATACTACATGCGACGAGAGAAGAGGAACAAGCTTCGCCTCGAAGAATGAGATGGCAAGATTCAGGGAAGAGCTTTAACGAAGAACATTTGACAAGTTTGTACAGTCCTGAATATTAAGAAGGTAAAAAGATTTAAACCTTGTTCTCCCTCAAAAGTAATCTTGCTTCTTTGTGCTGAACCAAAGGAGGTTGGGGTCCGAATCAGAAGATCATATAATCTCCTAGAGTCCTAGTGGGGAAAAGAATGTACACTAGCTTTGTGTATACAACATGATAGTTTTGTAATAGTCTTTTGTGGTTTCTCTATATACAAATTTGTCCATTGTTTGTTCATATTCATTTATTTTTGAGCTCTTAGTACAGATTTGTTACAATATAAGATCAAATTAATGTTGACTTTGATTACTATTATTTTGATTCAAAAATATTGTTTCCTTCTCCTTGTAGGTGAAGGAAAGGAAATTAATATCCAGACCTAAATAGTAAATAATAAACCCTATTAGATATGATGAATTAATAACCGTCCGATCAAAACCCAAAAAGATGTAAGTATAAAAAGGAAGTCGAGATTCGGTGCGGTCTAAAGAAGGAGAGCCATTCATTATTTTTGATTCACACGAAGAGAGCAAAAGACAGAGAAGAAGAAGAAGCAGAAGACGAATCCAACCATGGCGGCTGCTGTATCATCTGTTTGGTCAAAGCCTGGTGCTTGGGCTCTTGAAGCCGAGGAACACGAAGCTGAACTCAAACAACAAGCCCCTCCCTCCACCCAGAAATCCTCTGCCGGAGATTCCTCCGATTTCCCTTCCTTAGCCGCTGCTGCGACCACCAAAACGAAGAAGAAGAAGGGCCAAACCATATCTCTCGCCGAATTCGCTACCTACGGCTCTGCTAAGGCGGCGCCGGCTCCACAGACGGAGCGTCTCACTCAGGCTGAGCTGGTCTCTCTTCCCACCGGTCCACGTGAACGCTCTGCTGATGAGCTTGATAGATCTAAGCTTGGAGGTGGTTTCCGGAGCTATGGTGGGGGTCGTTACGGAGATGAATCGTCCAGCTCGAGGTGGGGTTCGTCTAGGGTTTCGGAGGATGGGGAAAGGAGAGGCGGTGGATTCAACAGGGACAGGGAACCTAGTAGGGATTCGGGTCCGTCGCGTGCCGATGAGGATGATAACTGGGCGGCCGCCAAGAAACCAATTGGCGGAGGCGGATTCGAGAGAAGAGAGCGAGGCGGCGGCGGGTTCTTCGAATCTCAGTCTCAGTCCAAGGCTGATGAAGTTGATAGCTGGGTCTCCACTAAGCCATCGGAGCCCCGTAGATTTGTTTCTAGTAACGGCGGCGGTGGTGATAGATTTGAGAAAAGGGGAAGTTTTGAATCCTTGTCTAGAAACCGGGATTCTCAATACGGCGGTGGAGGTAGTTCTGATTCGGACACTTGGGGGAGGAGAAGAGAAGAGAGCGGTGGTGCAAACGGCGTGCCATCACCGACTGTTGGCTCACGGCCTAGATTGGTGTTACAGCCACGTACACTTCCCGTGGCCGTTGTGGAGGTAGTGAAGCCGGAGAGTCCGGTCTTGGTCATTGTCGATAAACCTAAAGGTGCAAATCCTTTTGGGAATGCAAGACCTAGAGAGGAAGTTCTGGCTGAGAAAGGCCAGGATTGGAAAGAGATTGACGAGAAGCTCGAGGCTGACAAGCTTAAGGACGTTTCTGCAGCCATTGAGAAGCCTGATGAGAAATCTCCAGGGAAGATGGGCTTTGGTCTTGGCAATGGCCGTAAAGACGACGAACGTACTGAAAGAAGTTGGAGGAAAAGGTATATCTTCTTTGACTACAAAACTTGGTTTATTCGTTTCTTTAGTTTAGACTGGCAAAGTAGTATGTGGTTGTGATCTCTTTGTGCCTGTGGAAATTATTGATATGGGTCTAAGAAAATTGTGAATGTTGTGGGAGATATAGATTCATATATATGCTATAACTGACAGTGAGATTTTTGATGATCTTGTGTTATGAATCACTGCATTAGTGTAGTAGTTATTGGGGAAACTAGTTTTTAATATGTTAAATTTGGTGTTATTAGCTTTTTCCTACCTTCATACATGCAAGTTGATGTCTTGAAGTGAACCTTTTTCTAGGCTGAAAGATTGAATCCCTCTTTTCTGCTTTTTTTCATATGGCATCCCATGTTTCTCTGAGAGCTCTGTTTATCTCTTTCTGTGATGGTAATAATGGCTGTTTTTAATCAGTGTGGTTGGGTAATGTGGGAAGTTATAAATCTTGTGAGCATGTTTCTTACTCTTGGATTATTTTGTCTTTGAAAATTGAAGCACGGAGCAATCTGAGGAGGAACCAGCTGTAGAAGAGGCTACGAAGGAAGAGACTGAGGGAGAACCGGCTGTAGAAGAGGCTAAGAAGGAAGAGACCGAGGGCGAACCGGCTGTAGAAGAGGCTAAGAAGGAAGAGGCTGAGAACGAACCAGCTGTAGAAGAGGCTAAGAAGGAAGAGACGGAGGACAAAATCTAAAGAGTGAAAAGGCATTTTTGTGGATTGTAATAGAACAAGTTGGGTTCTCGAAGTTTAGCTTCTGAGAATTTGTGTTGTTTAATTTGGATAAGTTAAAGTTGTGTGGGGAACTCGATAGAAAATTTTGGTAGGGTCTTTTTATAATCTCTCTCTGTCTCTCAGTCTTGTTTGCATACTCTGTTGCAATTTTTAGGGTTTTGGGTGTCTTTAATTTTATTTTACGAGTTGTACAATTTCATTATTGGTTGAATCTTTCTTTGAATTTGGGAGCGCCTTTAGTTGGGCAGTGATCAATGGTGCGTAGAGAGAGTGCTGTTTGTTATTAAGAGCCCGACTTAACCCGACCCAGTAGTATCAGATCTGACCCGCATTCTTTAATCCGTAGTCCACCTTGCTATAAAACAGAAGAGATTTTTTTTTTTTTTTTTTTTTTTTTTTGTCATCTGATGTTATTGATAATAACTTGAAAGGATACATGTGTTACAAAGCATAAGCCGGCGGAAAACAAGATTTCCCCAGAGTCTAAAGCCGGCGGAAGACAAGATTTCCCCGGAGTCTAAAGCCCTATGAAAGGGAAGCCATAACCATAACTAAAACTACAAGGCAAGATGGACATACACTAAGGATCAAAATGGATCAATGCTCTAAAACCGACCAGCTGAAACAGTAGACTTCACTTAACTTCCCATAGAACCTTTAGCGTCGAGCAGCCTCAAGGAGACCGGATGTGCCATATAACCGAAGTCAAACCAATAGCACGCCGACAAGAAGGAAAGCAGAGCCCACTGAAAACAGAGAAACAGAAACTGCCACCGTCGCGCCAAACCAGAACAGTCAAAGAGCTAGGAACAAAGAGACAACCCTTGAGATTCGACCTGAGATAAGTCAAAGAAGACAAACCACTCTTACACACGGACACTCGTCGACCTAGCTTCCGCCATCTACCGTCATGAAACTAGTGACGTCCTCGCAAGAGAAGAGCAGAAGGTCGAGTCCATTGCTTGGCCTGAAACCCATCAGACTACAACAAAGCAGCCGAGAGAAGGGGATAGTAGATGACCTCACAACGAAATACCATCCGAATGACAAACTCAAAATCAAAACCTAGCCCATAACCAAGAATCAGAAGATCCAACAGAGCAGAAGCGCAAAGGTCCAAACGCAAATCCCAAAAGCTAAATCCAAGGAATCAAGCCCAACCAACAACAACTACAACAAACCAAAGAGAGATCTAGACTAGAGAAAACACGGATGCTTACGCCATGGACAGGGAAGACAAAGAAATCGCGAGAGGAGGCAACTGAAACGACGAGCCTCCAATAACCGACACCATCCCAACAAAAGCTACTGCAATGAATCCCGGTTGGGACAGCTGGAAATCAAACGACAAGCCATGGCCACGGTCAGATTCGCCGTCAATGAGACACGCCAAAGCGTCTCACCATCACCATCACGAAGCCTCAGTCACCACTGCACCACTTCGCTCGCCACCGTAGATCTAAGGACTAAAGACAAGAAACGATCTAAAGAGCCCTCTCACAGCGCCGAGGTGGCCGCCGGAGAGGCAAATCTGAGAAAATAGAGTTGAAGTTCTCTGGACTCGGCGGCTTAACCTAATCGCCTCAGAGAGAAAAAAAAAAGGGGACGATAATTTGTCAAAACAGAAGAGATATGTGGTGAGGAATAAAACCAACCTGTACAAATTAAAATCCAGAGAGTACTGGAAAGCAAAAATGAAGCACACACCAAGCAAGCAGATGACGGAGAATATGTTAACCCCACGCGCTCTGGAGTTGAAAACTATCAAAATTGACCAGAAATAGGCATTTCGGGCTGGGCTATATAGATTAGCCATTTTGATAACACGCGCTTAACGCTCTCAAGGTGCGCGTGGTCCTCATCGGAACAAAGTACTATTATTCTTTTGTTTCTTCTTTTAACCCAAAATATACTATTATCTTTTCTAGCAAAATCTCAAAGCTTATTAGAATGATAATTTTTTATTAAAAAAAATCATTTTGGATGTTTTCACTTTTCAAAGCTGTCAAAAACACCACTAGAAATTTGAACATATCAAATATCAAGTAGAAATTTTTGAAATCAAATAATTCTCCTTAAATGTATAATCATTATGACCATATAAAATACCTTTATAGAATGTATAACTGTATATACAGACAGAAATTTGGTGGAAATAAATTCTTTTCCATGGTCTGGTATACGGTTAATTACTATTTACTTGATTAATGTTGACTATGGTTTTTTTTTTTTTGGCTTAGAAGTCTAAACCTCACTCTAATTTTAATCCCCTAATGAGAAAAAAAAAACATAGTCTAAATGCATTACTGTAGTATTCATAATTCACGAACCTGAATGATATGCATTTACTACTTCTATTTCTTATATAGAAAAATATCATTAGATTTTCTGAATAATGACATATACGCTCTTTTGATTTGTTCTTTCTAATTCTGTAGTATCATTTTATAGAAGAAAATCTTCGCCTATAAACTTTCCTAAAAGTTTAGACAAAAAAAAGAAAAAACTTTCCTAAAACTATAAGTGATCAAACTATATAGTAGGTTTTAGATTCATTTGGATACTAATCCAAATATCAATTTCTTAATTTTATAATTATGAAGAAGACACTAATAATAACATTTTTCACACTCTGTTTGAGCGTGGCCGTTATGGCGCGTCACGAGTCCTACTACGGCAAAACCAAACCGGCTAATCTGAAGGAGGAGAAAGTGACTCGTGTCCAATTCTATCTCCATGATACCCTCAGTGGCCGAAACCCTACCGCCGTTAGAATCGCACATGCCAATCTCACTGGCGGCACAGAGTCTCCGGTGGGTTTTGGAAGCTTGTTTGCAATAGACGATCCACTCACCGTCGGACCGGGAAAACATTCGAAAGAGATCGGGAACGGTCAAGGGATGTATGTCTCCGGGAGCAAAGAGTTGAGCAAATTCTCGATTGTGATGTACGTCGATTTGGCTTTCACGACCGGAAAGTTCAATGGAAGCTCGATTAGTATCTTCTCGAGGAATCCGGTGGCGGAAGAGGCCGGAGAGCGAGAGATCGCGATAGTTGGTGGCCGTGGGAAATTCAGAATGGCGAGAGGTTTCGTCAAAATAAAAACACATAAGATTGACATGAAAACCGGTGATGCTGTTCTCCGATATGATGCGACTGTTTATCATTATTAACCCATATAATGTTCCAATCAAACTAATAAAAAAGCCAACTAAGTTAATAATTCAGATTAAAACTGATTTTTGCAGGATCAGGAGATTATAATTATGTTGCAATCGTTCTTTTCAACGCCCAAAATCGTTCTTTTCAGATTAAAATTGTTGTTTAGTCTCTTTTACAAATCTTGTGTGGATAGTAATATTTGTGATAGCGTTACAAAAGACATGAAAGGGCCCGTGAGTCTATGATTGATTCCCCTTCGGATCCTATCCAAATTTTATCCAAAATATTAATTATCGATGCCTTATTGAAATTTTTGGATCGACTTTTATTTCAATGAAAATTGAACATGTGTAGCGAAGGAAAAAAAAAACATTTTAGTCTATGAAATCAAAATCACGTTGTATTGATATCTTTCACGTCGGAGAAAGCCAGCTCATAGAAAGTGACAAAATAATAACTAAAAAGAAAGACAGCGTAGCGATACAACAAAAGTGGACCTACCATACACTATAAACCCACTCTCCCATCAATTTACAACCCAACCACTCTTTGGATATATCTCAACCAATCAATCGGTTCCATTTATCACATATATGTTCCCACAAAAAAAAATTGCAAGAAAATTATAGCATTTGATCTAAACGGTGTTTTGATAAAGTAGCGTAATTATTAAAAGATTAACGTATAATTCGCAACTTTTTCGTACCAATAATAAACAGAAACAGAAGAAAGCATAACAATAATATTAAAAAACCAAAAACAATCATAACAACTTACGAGTAACTGTTCATTTATAAAGGCGTGGAACGTTTTAAAAAAAGAAATAATAGAAATCAAAATAGTGATCAAAGCAAAGGGAAAGGGTTCATCCTCACCAGTCACCAATGGGGTCTCACCTTTCCAAACAACTCGAGCGGCGAAAAGCCATCTCCACGGAGAAGAAAGCCCTCACCGATCTCGAGAAATCTTGCGGCTGCGAGTTTCCTGGCTGTGATTACATGCCTTCCGATCGTAAAAACTGGATGTCCGGCGTTGGACCTGAAAAGCTTCACATCAACAAGATCGTCTGGCCAGGCACGCACGACTCCGCCACCAACAAAATCGGTATCCGATTCGTGTCTCGTCCCTTTGCTCAGTGCCAATCTCTCTCCATCTATAACCAGCTCGTGGCTGGTACTCGAGTTCTTGACATTCGTGTCCAAGAAGATCGCCGTGTCTGCCACGGTATCCTCAAGACTTATAGCGTCGACGTTGTCTTAGCCGATCTCAAACGGTTTCTATCCGAAACAGAGTCCGAGATTGTCATTCTTGAGATCAGAACAGAGTTTGGACACGAAGATCCTCCGGAGTTCGATAAGTATCTTGTGGAACAGCTTGGAGAGCATCTGATTCACCAGGACGATCACGTGTTCGCCAAGACAGTCGCTGAGCTGCTTCCCAAGAGAGTGATCTGCGTTTGGAAACCGAGGGAATCGCCTCAGCCTAAGCATGGCGATCCGCTGTGGAGTGCCGGTTACCTGAAAGACAATTGGATCGACACGGATCTTCCATCGACCAAATTCGAGAGCAACATCAAGCATTTGAGCCAGCAGCAACCGGCTACTTCCAGGAAATTCTTCTACCGGGTGGAGAACACTGTGACGCCGCAGCCTGATAACCCGATAATGTGTGTAAAACCGGTGACTAAGAGGATCCATTGCTACGCCAAGGTGTTCATCATCGAGTGTGTAAAGAGAGGATGTGCTGACAGGCTGCAGATATTCTCAACGGATTTCATAGATAAAGAATTTGTTGATGCTTGCGTTGGGCTCACATTTGCGAGAGCTGAAGGCAAGGCCTGAGGAATGAGCGTGTAGAGACAGACTTTGTATATCTGTTTTAAAGGAAAAGAATCAGAACATGGCTGCTGTGTTGTTAGGAATCCTTGTGTATGAAAACACGTCAGTGTGTGTGATTTAAGGGTGTATATTCATATACATTACTAAATATTTGATTCAATTGCCAAAGATCCAAAATCAAGGAAAAGAATTCTGCAGAGCAAATATTAGTATTTCTCTTCATATATAGGTAAAGTATTAACTCAAAATGTTGATATTCAGAGATGAAGTAAGAAAACCACCCAAAAATGAGAAGACATATATTAAGGAAGAGATTTCAACTATAGTTAAACTTTTTCAGATGATGCAGCAGTCCATAGACTGGCAAAACAGAAGGAAGAAGCACGCAGATTCATGATAGAAAAAAAAAACTAGTCTATATATAGTTTAAAATGTGAAAGAGAGCTGCTAACCTGAGAGAGGACTAGATATCTCTGCTGCAATATAATGGCTCTTTTTGTGACGCCAGTGTGATCTTGGGGGTATGCCAATTCTATCTGGTTGAAAATAGAATTAATTATGCATCTCTCTAATTCCATTCTTTGATATGAGTTAAAGGGACAAGACACAAGTAAGTGTTGAAGAATGAAAATCACAAGTGTGTGGAAACGATAGATTACCTACCTCTATGCATAGTGCAAAATCCCATTTATTTGAGGTTAGATCTCAATCACTTCGAAGAAGCCCCACGAGAGGTCAAAGATTATTTGTGGTCAGTTAACAAAAGGTGTTGATCCACAGAAACAAGCCTAACCACTACCAGGAGTATCTGATTCTGAGATCAGCGGCGACACCACTCCTTTTGAGTTATCTCTCAGGCATTATAGATGCAGCAAGAGAGTTCACCTTTTTATTTTTTTATTTATTTAAACGGCTGCGTTTTGAGTCATATTATTCTCCCTCTCATAATGAAATATTACCAGTTTACTCCTACACATTCTTAGAATTAAGAGCTAAATTTGTGATATTTACATATTATTCGTCAACGGGATCTGTTTTGAACCCTCGATAAAACTTCTATAAACTTACACATTTACTACTCAAAATCGAGATCCAGCAAGGACAGACAATCTCTATGCGGTCAATAGTCGTCTCAATTTACTTCATACAATTATTATACTATTTGGTAAAAAATACTACTGTATTTGGAAATTTGAAGTAGTATATATATCTGCTTCATGAACAGTTAATGCTTATTTTGACCAGAAGATTGAGAAATTTTTATTATATTGACCAGTTGAAATATCTATCTGCTGACGTCGTATATCATTCTTTAATGTTGTTGTTGACTGCAACCAAAATTAAATACCTACCAGGTAAAGAAAATTAAATGATCTTCTCTCTATTCCCAGAGAGCTTTTTAGATCTGAATCTGACGGCTGATATACCTCCTGAAAAACACCCCAACCGTCCAGATGCAACCGCTTGCTGGGCCAACGATCCATTCTCTTTCCCGAAATGGATTAATAATGTATAAGCCTGGCCCATTTTGTTTTTAAGTTACAGATTCTGTTTTCTTTTGTTTAAATTTTTAGTTGCAGATTCATTTTCGAAATCATCAACGAAATTTTTATGTTTATTAATTATCTCTGTCTTACTAATTTTACTATTCAAAAGCAGTCCCAAGATATATATTTTTCTAAAATCTTAGTCACTAGAGTTTTTGTTTTTTAAATATCATGCTCGGATATACAATTTGGAAATTGCAGAAATAATTTTATATAAAAAAGAAATATAGAAAATAGTAAAAATTCAACATAGAAAAAGATCTAAAAAAAATATTTCCTTTTCCAAAAAATTAATCTTGGCAACATGGAAAAATGAATTTGTGTGGGTGACGTGGCAGTCATACCCTTGCCACACCTCTCCTACGCATATAAACAGCAGCTGCGAGGAGAGAGGTTTTCCAGAGTGTGAATTTTTTCTAGGGTTTCGGTTTTTTGAGATTTAGAGAGAAAGTGAGTTTTTAAGAGATTTCGATCAGAATGAGCGGAGACAACGGCGGTGGTGAGAGGCGCAAAGGCTCCGTCAAGTGGTTTGACACCCAGAAGGGTTTCGGCTTCATCACTCCTGACGACGGTGGCGACGATCTCTTCGTTCACCAGTCCTCCATCAGATCTGAGGGTTTCCGAAGCCTCGCTGCCGATGAAGCTGTCGAGTTCGAGGTTGAGATGGACAACAACAGCCGTCCCAAGGCCATCGATGTGTCTGGACCCGACGGCGCTCCCGTCCAAGGAAACAGCGGTGGTTCATCTGGCGGACGTGGCGGTTTCGGTGGCGGAAGAGGTGGTGGCCGCGGATCTGGAGGTGGATATGGCGGTGGTGGTGGATACGGAGGAAGAGGAGGTGGCCGAGGAGGCAACGACTGCTACAAGTGTGGTGAGCCCGGTCACATGGCGAGAGACTGTTCTGAAGGCGGTGGAGGTTACGGAGGAGGCGGTGGTGGCTACGGGGGAGGCGGAGGCAACTACGGCGGAGGAGGCGGTCGCGGAGGTGGCGGAGGCGGTGGAAGCTGCTACAGCTGTGGCGAGTCGGGACATTTCGCCAGGGATTGCACCAGCGGTGGACGTTGAAACCAACGCCGGTCCGGTGGTAGAGAAGAGTGAGTCGGTTATCTCACAAGTGATCGGATCTTCTTTTCGCTGCCTTCTATCTTTCTATTATCGGCTTTTTGCTTATTATGATGGATCTCTCTCTGTCTTTGTTAGTTGCTTTTTCTTAATCTCTTGATGGTTTCGGATTAGGACTTATTTGGTTTTTCTACTTATGGTTGGTTTATTTATGGTACTTGTGATGGGTGAAATGCTTCTTGTTGCTCTGTTTCAAGTGTTCATAATATTCTGGGTTTTGTTTTTAATCATCTGAATGAATCGTGAGATCTGGATACTTAGATCATCGTTTTAAGGTTGATTTTTTTTATGGATTGTGAAACGATGGATAAGATTCGGCTGCCCATAGATAACAAAATCTATCTGCTCATGGTTGCATTTAATGGCATTTAAGTTCCATGGACTGGAAGGAATTTAATACCAATTGCAGTCTCCATCATTCTCATTATTAATTGATTTTTATCTTGGATATCGTCTATTTTCAAAAAATGTAATTTTTTCAACTTCTTTAAATACGAAACGCCACCGTTTCTTCACGATCACGCTCGCATCTTACTGTAGCTCACACGATTCGGATTGGATAAGTCGAGAAAAGCAGATGTGGGAAGATTTTTAGATCTGTTGTTGTTGTTGTTACCTTGGAAATCGGAGTGCTCTATAGAAATTAGCATGTTGGAAGGTCCACACCAAAAATCCCACGTGCGCAACGCTAAATGGATAACTAGAAAACCGGTTTAATTTCGGATTCACCCAACCCAGTTTGGAACTAGCATAATCGGTTTCGGTTTTATTTGGTTTATTTAAACTTTAAAGAAACAGAGAAGCTTTCCTTCCTCTCTCTCTGTAAGTTCTCTCTCACTCTCTCCTCTCTTCCGCCGCTTTTTTACTCATCCAAGCATTCAACTTTAGAATCCGATCGAATCTTCCTGTAACAACAGTGATGAATCGAATCCTCTTGTTTATGATCCTGGCTTTTGTATTATCTCTTTCAGGTAATTATTAATCGCTGTGAATGATTCTGTGTATTGCTTGATTTCTCGAGATTGAACAATCTTTAAACTTACTGATTGAAATGGTTTCCCATGGCAGAAGTTGAGCCGATTTCGTTCAAGATCACGAATCGTTGCCGGAACACGATATGGCCTGGTTTGCTCTCCGGCGCTAACTCGGCGCCGCTCCCCACAACTGGCTTTCGTCTCTCCAGAGGAAAATCTAAAACCGTCGCAATACCAGCGTCATGGTCTGGTCGTCTCTGGGCACGAACCTTGTGTTCACAAGATCGGAGCTCCGGTTCTTTCGTCTGCTTAACCGGAGACTGCGGCTCTGGAAAAGTCGAATGTATAGGCTCCGGTGCTAAACCTCCAGCAACCCTCGCCGAGTTTACTCTCAACGGCACCGGAGGACTAGACTTCTACGACGTTAGCCTCGTCGACGGTTACAACCTCCCGATGCTAATCTTGCCCAAGAAAATTGTCGTTGGAGGATGCGGAGCCACCGGGTGTCTCGTGGACTTGAACGGCGCGTGTCCCAGAGACCTAAAGCTGGTGGCACGTGGGAAAGGGAACGGTGTGGCTTGCCGTAGCGCGTGCGAGGCATTCGGGGACCCAAGGTATTGCTGCAGCGATGCGTACGCAACGCCGGACACGTGTCAGCCTTCGGTTTACTCGCTCTTCTTTAAGCATGCGTGCCCGCGAGCCTACAGCTACGCCTATGACGACAAGACCAGCACTTACACTTGCGCCACCGGAGCCGATTATTTCATCATTTTCTGTCCGCCGCCGTATACAAGGTGAGATATTGACCCTTTTGCCCCTCTGTTCGAATTAGTTAGGTTTGGAAGACTCGAGAGATGTTTCTTGTCATTATATGAGTAGGAATCTAATCTGAGCCACTGTTGATTGTTATGGACTTTAGCTAGTTAGTTAGTCGCTCTGGTTTGTAGTCTTTTAGATCATATGATCATCTTCAATGGCTATAGAGCGTAACACAACAGTTTAGTAGATTAAAACTGAAATTTGAATGACTTTTTTAGTTGGATTGAATTCGACATAGATTGGAATGAGGAGATCCATGATTGAAAATGTAGACCATATATGTAAGCATTTGGTGTGAGAAAGTGTTGATTAAGGGTTTTGTTTTAATGGTTGGAAAAGATTAGATAGAAGAGCTCCATTATTGAAAATGTACTTAGGTGTAATGAGCTTAGAAAGTGTTGTGTTGATTATGGGTTTTGTTTGCAGCGAGAAGCTTTTAGGATCGAGGAAAGATGGGGCAACGCTGCCGCTAGTAAACAAGAGCATGATTCATTTGCCGCATCCGCGCAGCAGCTGAGCCACCTCCTTATATGTCTCAAGTCCTTCTTAAATCAGGTCCGTGTTACATGGCTACTTGCATTGTCTATTGAGGTTATTGTTTGTTTTCATTTCGTGTTTCTTGTTGCAGGCAGATAGGAAATTCATGTGTAGAAAATATGTCACTACGGTGGTGATACCAAGGTAGAAAATTGTAAATTTCGTCTTGTTTTACCAAAAATTATTGTATCTGTAACCTGCTCTTTCTATGTCAATCATAAGGTAGAAAGAAATCCATCTTGTTTACTAATTAAAAATAATGTGATTAACGGATTAAGAATAAGGGGTCGATAAAAATAGCCCCACAAGCCCATTTGCACAGCACGCTCGTCTGCAAAACCAAGGCTTACTACCTCTAATCCTCTATCATTCAGTTTCTTAAGGTGGATTTGCTTTTAAGTTTTTTTGCCGTAGTTTTGAGGATTGTTATACAAAACAAGAAATTAACTAACATGTTAATTTGCAAACTATCAGAAAAAAAAATGTTAATTTGCTTTTTGGGAATAAATAAATACATCAGGCTTTGGAGACTTGAAAGTTTTTGGGAAATCAATCGGCAGTTAAATAAAATGTAGTTTGTCAGTTACCTTGGCCAAGTTAAAAATATTGAAAAGATTTAGGAGTCAAAGACTCGGTCAGGGCCCAGCTCTCAAGGTAGTAGTGGCATGGGTGAAACTCTCTCTCTATCTCTCTCTTGTTCCTCAAAAGACGAAAGACACAAGAAGAGAGTTATCCTCTGTATTTTGCCACTAAATCTTCCGGCTATGTTTCTTCCATGTGCCACAAGATCTAATAACATGGTCGCATTTTCATACATTTGATCATCAACGGTCAAGACTCGAAGCATAGTAGTAGCCTCAGAAACTCCACCCTTAAAATTATCCTTTTAATTAGAAAACAAGAAAGGTAATGTCAAAAATATTGTTTACTTTTACATAACTTGTTTTTTTTCCTTGCCTCTGTTCATAAATTTTAGAGATCTTTTTTCTTTTGAGTTTTGGATCCCTTTGGATTGTTTCGTCCACAAAAAAAAAAAAACTACTTTTTAGGGAAGGGATTAAGAAAAATAAGCAATTTACAAGCTTGCTTTCTCTTTGTAATAAAAACTAACAAGGGATTGAAAACTCAAATATCCCAAAGAAATTTAAAAAGTGGTATGTTGCCTCTAAATTCCGTGGGTGATGTCACAATCACAGAGATAAAAATATGCTTCAAGTAGAAAAAAACGGTCTATTGAACGCGGGGCCCACTTTCCACCTTCGTATGGGCCGACTTTCAAGCCCAATTAGACTCATTTGTGTGGGCTATATATAGCCTATATTACTCCACACATGGCCTTTTTATTTTCTTTTTTTGAAGATATAGGAAACCACACACAATGACACAAAGCTCCAACTGATTGATTGATCGATCAACGAAATATGTATTACACAAAATGAAAAAGAATTTTAATGAATAAAAGACTTAGTAGAAAATAGAACAATTAATGATATCCGAAACCATTTGGTCCTATCTCTCTCTTTTCTTTGAACAAACTTGGTCCTATCTCTCCCTACACCCAATAATCTTTCTTGGGATTATTGTTGATTTTGCCATTTTTCATAGAAATCTTTTGAAATTGCCATTTTTACTAAAATCTTACGGAAATGCCATTTTCTAACACTTTAAAATGTACGTATTTCGGATTTTTTTTTATAAAAATACGTAGTTTATACAAAATACTAAACCCTAAGAACAACCACAACCGACTAAACCCAAACATAACGAATAAAACGCATGTTAAATCATATTTCCGTAGCCTGAAAAATGGCAAAATTCATAAACTATTCAAAAAAGGGCAAAATCCACAAATGTCATCCCAAAAAATGGCAAATCCATAATTGATTCATCTTTCTTTTTTTAACCCGTTTTTAAAAATTCTTTAATAATTGGACAAGAGAAATTTTGTCAGGTTTCAGGCATAGAGCCCCCCAGTAACACTCAATAAACAAATCCAGGGAAAAAAGGAAAAAAATAACAAAACCCCATTTCGACTCAAATAGCTTCACAGTTTTACTAATCTCTCTCATCTTCTTCCCAACATCATAGACCTTCACTTCTGATTAGATTCAGTTCAAGAACACTGAGTAAGAAGAAGAAGAAGAAGAAAAAAACATAATGGATCTTTCTTCTCGTCGCGCCTCTTCCTCTCTCACATTGAGCCTCATAGTTCTCCTCCTAGCTTCCACAGGTAAACCCTGTAGAAGAAGAGTCTCTCCCTCACTTACTTCAAACTCCTTTACACATTCTTAAGACTCGTTTCATTTTTTGACTGATTTGTTTCTTTATCTTTTGTTATTAAAGGTTCGTATGGCTCAACATTCACATTCGCTAATCGCTGCGGCTTCACCGTATGGCCTGGAATCCTAGCGAATGCTGGCTCTCCTACTCTCTCCACCACCGGATTCGAGCTCCCTAAAGGCACCTCCCGCTCTCTCCAAGCTCCCACCGGTTGGTCCGGTCGATTCTGGGCTCGAACCGGTTGCAAGTTCGACGGTTCTGGCTCCGGTACATGCACAACCGGTGATTGCGGCTCCAACTCTGTCGAATGCGCCGGACTTGGCGCCGCACCGCCTGTAACTCTCGCCGAGTTCACTCTAGGCACTGGCGGCGACGATTTCTACGACGTTAGTCTCGTCGACGGTTACAACATTCCGATGATAGTTGAAGTCGCCGGTGGATCTGGGCAGTGCGCTTCTACCGGTTGCACTTCGGATCTTAACACTCAGTGCCCTGCTGAGCTGCGTTTCGGCGACGGAGACGCTTGTAAAAGCGCGTGTGAAGCGTTTCGGAGTCCTGAGTATTGTTGCAGCGGCGCGTATGCTACACCTTCTACTTGTCGGCCTTCCGTCTACTCGGAGATGTTCAAAGCCGCTTGTCCTCGCTCGTATAGCTACGCTTACGACGATGCTACGAGCACTTTCACTTGCGCCGGTGGAGATTACACGGTGACGTTTTGCCCTTCTTCCCCTAGGTAATAATTATACTGTCCTCAAATTTCTCACTTACTATAATATTATTCTTTTTAATTTCCGCAATTTAGGGGTTCCTTGAAAACTTTAATTTTTTTAGTATAATGAATGATTTTGGGTATGTGTTTTTTTTTCGCCGTTGGGAAAGCCAAAGTTTGTGTTTATCTTCTTTTCATAAACCATCATCTTTGAAAGCAAAATGATTCTCTTTGTGTTGGCAATTACGATTAATTTAATCGAGAAAGTTTGTAGCAAATGTTTCAAAATGACAAAAAATGCTAAAGTTGTTTGAAAACGCAAGTTGAAAGATTTGATATTGCAATCATTTTGATTAGTGGTGTTTAAATACTTTTGTGCATACAGTCAAAAATCGACTAGCTACTCCCCTCCAGTGACAGACTCGTCGTCGACCTCACAAGGTTCGGATCCTGTGCCTGGTTCTGATACGGGTTATGCCGCCGGTCAGGGTCAACAGACTCCAGTTCAAGGTAATGTGTACGGGTCTCAGGGTACTGGGTCGGAGATGGGTACAGGAGAGACCATGTTACAGGACGGATCATGGATGGCTGGTTTGGCCATGGGAGACTCAAGCAGACCAGCCGGCGCTTCATTGGCAATGCTACTTGCTGCCTTTACTTTTCCGTTTATCTTCTCGTAGCATCTTCGTCTTAGATTTTGTAGTCGTTTTGTTAGCATTGCCTTTGTTTAGTTTTCTTGATACTCAATGTTTATCGCTCAAGACTGCGACTATTTGGGTTTTAGGGTTTTGCATTGTAGCTTTGTCGTGTGTGCGTGTTCCTTTTCATCTGTCTTAGAAGATGGTTTTTCATGTTTGAAATTGTGAGATATGCTTTGTGATATAAAGATCTTTTGTGGCTTTAATAGATCTAAAGCGCCAAGGTGATTATTATTAGACCACTAAAATTAAGAATTTCATATTTATTGTGTCTGGATTTTGGTAGGTCTAATTTTTAATTTCTAGAGAGTATAGTAACATTCAAGTCTATGAGAGCATGGGCAGTGGGGCAAGCAGGTGGGTGTGAGTCTTGGGGTGTAGGTATTAAAAAAACGAAAAAATTGTCTCTCTCTTCACACCCGGGTGTAAGTTTACACTCGGGTGTAACATTTTTTCTCTCTATCTCTCTCTTTATTTTCTCTTTTGCTTTAAATTATAATACTAAAAAAATACTTACACCCACACAAACACATTTGCCACTGCTGATGGTCTGATAATGTCGCCAGAGCCAAGGTGGGGCTCACAGTTAATGGCTGTGTGATGTGAATGATGCCCACTTTAGCTTTTTTAAGTTACTTTGCAGAGATTTATGTTTGATTTGATGTCTCTATATTATGTCATAAATTTTCTATAGAAAAAAGTTTTCCCACGCCTCAAAATCTCGTCCCTCTTTTTGACCTATTGTCACTTACTTTTGTCCCCACCAGTACATTCAATTTTGTTACTGATTGAAAATTTGCAAATTAAAATATATGTATCTATTTACCTTATGTGTTCCTCATTAAGATTTACTCTATATCTTAAGAGATAATCTTAAACATGGAGTCGCGGTGTTAGATTTGAAGCCTCACATGTTTGGTCTCAGGGCCTTGAGATAACGAGAAAGACGAATTAACCGTTTTACCTTGGTATATGATCCCAACTCTATACTCTCCCAAAAAGCCGAAGAAGCTGAAGGAACCATGGTCGTCGGTCGTAGCCTTAACCTCACGAGTCTTCCATTCTAGAAGCTTCTGATCCACCACGTCTCCAGCTGGAAGGTTCCGGAATTTATCGTCGGTGAGGCACATTTGGTAACAACCGTTTGGGTGAAGTGCGGTCCAAAGCATTATACCGTTCACCGATTGGTGCGAAAATCCTTCACGTAACACTTGCTCCAAATAAATCGCCTGAAAACATAACAAAATTCCGGTTACTAGTACCAAAGTATAATCAATGTGTACTACTAATGAATATGATATCAACAGTGAAACAAATTTATCTACATATATAAGAATGCTTCTCTTTCAAATTTGTTTATTTTGTAGTGGAATGATTCCACTCTGTTCAGTTTAACTAGTTATTTTTCCAGTGTTTCATAATGCCATTTTCAGCCTAAATCAATTTGAAAAACCGTATGATAACCGGATTCAAATTCCAAACTGAATTAAACCGGAATTGGCAAGAAAACAAAGACTTATTGACCTGCGTGCGGTGGTCGAGGCTACTGCTGATATCAATTTCGGTGAGCCAGATTGGGAGCTGGAGCGTCGCGAGTTTGTCGAGGATTGCTCTCATTAGCGCCACGTTCGGCGTCGTGAAGTGACCCTCGAGACCGATTCCGTCCATCCTTATGCCGTCGTACCGTTGGAGTTCCCTCACCCTCGCGATGTATTCGTCAACCGTCGACTTCTCGTCGCTGCAAGTCTCCACCACGTTGAAATCATTAAAGAACAGAGTCGCCAGCGAGTCAATCTCACGCGCCGCCGCGAAGAACCCGTACGACGCGTTATTCCCCAGTCGACTCTCGTAGAAGTCGAAGTGAAGCATCTCGTTGCTCACGTCCCAGTGCACGAACTCCCCTCTGTACCGAGTCATTAGACTCTTGATTCGCCGGTTAACCGCCGACCGGAGATCTTCGCCGGTTAGATTACGAACCCAATTGGGATTGTATCTGGGATCCTCCCAGAAGATGTTGTGGCCGCGAGCGATGATTCTGTTGGCTCTGACGAAATTCATCATCTTATCAGCCAATGTGTAGTTGAGTTTGCCTTGATCGGGCTCCGTCGCGTACCATTTCAGCTCGTTCTCGAACACCGTCGCGTCGAATCTCTTGACGAACCATTCCTACCAAAGCAGTATTCGTTTAAAAAAGCAGAGGTTTTTGATCAAACGACATTTGTTTTTAGTTTAGAGAGTGTCTTTTACTTGGTAAGGAATGTTTCCAAGAATAGTTTTGGAGATGGCAGATCCAATGGGGAAGTCTTTAGAGATCTGCTCTATTGTCACCTCTGCTCCTTCAACGCGCTCTCCGTTTCCTTCGGACACGTGAATTGTCACTGCTCGTTTTCTCGCCTGAAATAAGTGTTAAGGGAACCACATAAAGAATGTAGTTTGTGATTTTGGTGTTAGGAATTAGAGAGTGTGTTTTACGGTATTAATGAAGTAATCTTGGTTGTTCCTCCATTGCTCCTGCGTGAAGGGCTGAAGAGAAGCACTAGCCACTTGTAATTGGATCTTGCTATCGTCGTTTGATGTCTGCATTATCAGAAATTTACAGTCTTTGAATCCTCTAATCAAATCTTTTGAGTTGAGCATATAAAGAAGAGTCTACCTCAAAGAAGAGGATGGATTGGTTAGAAGGAGAATCAAGAAGGAAGCCGCCTTTGAGGAAAGACCAGCAACCATGTTTGGCAGTTACAGAACCGACGCAGTTTAAAGTGGCGTTGTCTGCTCTCAGCCTTGCCCTTACACGAGCTGATGCAGCACCAGCCTCTATCTTCACCCAAACTGCTTTCCATATATCAGTCTCAAATCAGTCAGATCATCACATTCATTTCACCTTTTAACGTATATTTAACATTCTAATGAAAATGTTTAACTGGAGAAGCAATAGATGGTGTTGTGCGTGAGATTGTGCAATATGTAAGTTGGTGTGTAACGAGCACCAATGCCTGTGAGAGAGTCTCTGCCTGAGACAGAAGGCTTTTGGTCCTTCAGCATTCCTCCATTGTATAGTGGCTTCTCTGCTTCTGCTCTACACTGTTGCATTTGACATACATATATGTGTAAAAATTTTCTATCTATGCGCAATTAGATATCTTGTGAAATTGAATTAATAGTTCAAAGCTTTAAAACCTCTGTGTAGGCAGTAGAGTCGTAGAACGGTCCATCTAGACCTGAAGATTTTAAACATCATCAAGCTAAAATTTTGTATACATATATGTGTATTATATACTATGGTATGCTATGATATACTTGTGTGTACCATTTGACGAAGAAGCAGGAGTGAAGGCGGTGAGGAGGGAAAGGGCCAAGAAAATCAAACAATACATGTAAGAATATTTCATGATTCAAAACAAGAACACACAATTTTGGGATAGGAAAAGAAAAAAGAGAAATTCTATCAGGGGGATGAAACAAAGTGCGTTGATGTGGTTGGATGGGTGGTTAGGCCAGTCTCTATTTGGGAGAGTTTCAATCAGAGAGGGAACAATATAGTCAGAAACACTGAACCTATTGAGTGAGTTCACGTGATGATGTTGTTATATGCGAAGTGGGTTTTTGTGTCATGTGAAATCGTGCTTTTATAGAGCTACTGCCTACTAGAGTACCACGGGTTGATGCTTTGGTTACAAGTTTTTTACCTAAATCGTAACATTTGGTTGTCTTTTTTGTGGGTGGATGTGTGTGTGCAAAAACCTCTCACGCCTACAAATCATTTAAGTTTAAATGAATCAAAGAGTATCTTCTATATTTAAAAGTTAGAGATTTTGAATTACAGATTTAGTTTAATATAAAATTTAAATATACAAGATTTTGTACTATTGTGTTTAAATTTATTGCTTTATAGAAAATTCAAATATTTGGAAAACAGCACATAAAAAATATTATAGAGAAAGCAATTACCATAACTATGAAAAATTTAATAGTTATGAGAAGAGACCAAAATTTTAAACATTATTTTTTTAGTTGATACAAAGGGAAATAATTTAGATTACATTTGGATTTAAATCTGTAAAGAATTTAGCTAAATTAAAGGGAAAACGAAATATATAGTGAATTTGGTTAATTGGAAAGCAAAAAACTAAAATGGGCAAAAGAGATATTTTATGGAGGGCAAGTAAATTTTTCCTTCTCTCAAAAGATTTCAAAATGTTTAGGACCATGTTAACAAACTAACGTATCCGCCGCCCCTGTGACACGCTCACGCTCACGCTCCTTAGGAGTTAGGACCATTTCCCCTTGCATGCGACGCTTTGGGCTTTAATATGATCAGTTGGGCTTAGTGAATTCTTTTATCGGACTTTCTTCGAAGCCCATTCCAATCTCTCCGAGTCTGGAAATATATTCAGATAGTAATGTTATAAGAAACTATACTAATATTTTAATGCGCATGAAGATGATAATACTAATATCTATTTCATTAAATCACCTTTGGACGGTATTATACTTAGACGATAATAATATCGGTTGATAATCAACGAATTAAAATTGAGAATTGTGGTGGCGAGATCTCTTGGATCATCTTCGCTTCGCCGCTTGGGCGGTGGTCGTCGTCATCGTCACTAATAGTAATTACTGTGACTAATAAAAAAAAAAAATGCTAAATTGAGTCTCGTCGTCTTCTGCTTCTGCTTCTGCTTCTGCTTCTGCTTAAGCTTCATCATCATTTAGCTCCAGAGGCGGAGCTTTCTCTCTCTTTTGACGACCATGGCGGCGGACGACGGCGACCCCACTAAATTCGCTGCAATCTACGACTCCTCCTCTCCGTCGCACCCTCTTCTCTCTAAACCCTCCACGTCCGCTCTCGATTCTCCGCGTCGAAGTGATCCCGAATCCGACCCAACTCAGTTTCTTCAGATCTCCTATAATTTTGGCCCCAGAACTTTCAAGGACATCCCTTTCCTTCTTCTCTTCGATCTTCTCGTACTCTCCACTTTTGGTTTTGGAATCTTCTCCGTTTTCCATAGAAATAGCGATTACGGGAGCTCCTCTTCCTTCACCTACGACTTCACCTCTAGCTCCTGCGTCAAAAATTCCACCTTTACTAAAATTTCGGATGGGTACTCCTGGGCTTCTTCCAGTGTCATGTACGGTATGGTTTCTTCGTCCGATTCAGTCTTTGAGAAGAATTTGATCTGGACCCTTGTTGTAACGCTCATCTTAAGCGTGCCCTTCTGTTTTAGCGTCCTGCTTTTGCTCAAACACTACACTAAGCAGATTGTTTATGCTTGTTTACCTCTCTTTGTCATTTTTCCCATCTTTTTCAATGTCTATTGGTTTGTCGCTTGTACTCTTAGCCCTTCTTGTAGTGACGCCCTCCCTCTAGCTTACAGAATTCTTGTCCTAGTCTTCATTTTCTTGATCATAGGGATCATTGTCTGGATCATAGTAGCTAATTGGCACAGGGTTGAGCTCACTATCCAAATCATCAGTGTTGCATCGGATGCCTTGTCCAAAAATTTGAAGCTTTTTGTTGTGTTGCCGCTGCTGACTCTCGGGTTAGTGGTGTACTATGCGCCGATTGTGGTGTTCTTGGTGTTTGCAAGGTTTAATGGGAAGTTTGTGCCGCGAGAGTTGGATGGTCACTACTTTTGTGAGTGGAAGGAAGATTCTTGGGTTCCTGCGTATTACGCTCTTGCCATTTTAACGATGCTCTGGTCTCTTGCTGTAATGGTGGAAATGCAAGTGTATGTGATAAGTGGAGCTATTGCTCAGTGGTATTTCTCCAAAGAAGACTCAGTGCCTAAAAAATGCATCCGGAGTTCTTTGAGGTGATTCACTGCCACGTCTTTCCCTCTTTTATTCTTGCTATCAATGAATTTGCTGTGCAGTTTCTCTTACAATCGATGGTCCTCTTAGTTCGAATATACAGTATGTTACTTCTTGTTTCAATCCTCACATCCAAAGTATCCCTTGCTTGGCTTCGTTTTGGAGTATGCAGTGATGCTAGGTCATGGTATTCATAGTCTAGGCCTTATGGATTGGATTCAATACATGTACTGGAACCCATCATCTTAACTTGTTTGATACTTTAAATGTGAAAAGAGACAACAGAGAGTGGTATTTGAGGATCCAATAGTCTCCTAATCTGTTGTTGGTTTATGTCAAGCATGTGTGAATCATATTCTTTTTCCGTATCTCTGTCTCTTCAGGAACGCATTTGGTCAATCCTTTGGTACAATATGTGTATCAGGACTTCTCATCTGCATTGTTCGTGTGGTCCGGGCAATTGTGGACAATGCAAGAGAAGAGAACCCACAAGGGATAGTGAACTTGGTTCTCCGTTGCTGCGCAAACGCCTTACTTGGAGCCCTTGACTATCTCAACAAGTTCACCATCAACTTTGCTGCAATAACAGGGGAAGCCTATTGCACCTCTGCGAAAATGACATACGAGCTCTTAAGACGCAACCTACTGTCAGCTGTATTTGTGGAAACGGTTTCCACCAGAATCCTAACCGGAATAGTCTTTGTCCTCTCAGCCGCATATGCAGTCGCGGTAAGTATTAGCTTCTGCTTCTCATCAACTAAGCATCTACTAATTGTCATAGTTACTAATTTTGGGTTTTATGATGTGCAAAAGCAGACATGGGCTGTTCTGAGAGGCGTGAGCAACCTGGGTATAGATTCATACTTGGTGGCTATACTGGCGTGGCTGTTACTGATTGTGGTCTTGGCTTTCTTTGTACATGTTCTTGACGATGTGATAGACACAATCTATGTCTGTTACGCGATTGATAGAGACAAAGGGGATGTTTGTAAGCAGGAAGTTCACGAGGTATATGTTCACTTGCCTATCAGCAGAAGCACAAGATCTTCTCTAATCCCAAATGCTCTGAATGCATAGGAGAAGATGATCCAACGTCTCTGCTTGTTGTATTTGTTTTTTTGTTTGTTTACACCATTGTAAATTCCTGAGTAGAGAAAGTGAATTGTTCGTTTGTCTTCTGGGGGTTTATATTGACGTTTTGTAGAGTTTATGGGGTAATGTTGAATAAAAAAAAATAGTTATAGGAATTAGTGTATTGTGGTCTGTGTTTCTTTAATTAATTAATAAATCAACGTTGATTTCCTTTTTTTATGAAAAACAACCATTGTGGCTAAAATGAAATAAACGTAAAACATTAGGGGTATAAAAGGAGAAAGTAAACTATAAAGGGCTCTATATAAAGAAGCACAATCATGTTATAATTTTTATTAATCGGTCTAAAATCTAAATCTTGCCTTCCTGACTTTCTCTCTACGACAGAAATTGAAGCTTCTCTCAACTTTTGGACACGATGGTTCTCGAGGTGATTTTCGAATTATTTGTGCTTCTGATTTGAGTATCTCTCGATTTAGTAGTTGATGATCCATGTTTGATGTTGTCTTTGTTGGTTTCTCCGTAGGCGACTATGATATGCATCGACAACTCCGAGTGGATGCGAAACGGAGATTACTCTCCGTCTAGGTTACAGGCGCAAACGGAAGCTGTTAATCTTCTTTGTGGGGCCAAAACCCAGGTAATTTCTCACTTGGGATTCGATTAGGGTTTTGGGTTGGCGTGAGATTGTGATTTAGGGATCTTTCTGTTTGCAAATTGCAGTCGAATCCGGAGAATACGGTGGGGATATTGACAATGGCTGGCAAAGGAGTTAGAGTTTTGACTACGCCTACCTCTGATCTTGGCAAAATTCTGGCCTGTATGCACGGTATGTCTCAGTCTCCTATCTTTCTAATTGGAAAAATCTGTTTTTTTTTTTTAATTAGTAATCATTGAGTTTGATGGTGTTTGACATCAAGTTGCCATCTTTTCAGGCCTTGATGTTGGAGGAGAGATCAATTTAACAGCAGCTATCCAGATCGCCCAGCTAGCTCTTAAGCATCGCCAAAACAAGAATCAACGCCAACGGATTATTGTTTTTGCTGGAAGGTACCCAATTTCTTGTGTCCTGATTAACCTTTTTTTTATAGTTATTTGATGTTTTTCTTGTGCTTCTACTTTTTAGTCCAATCAAGTACGAAAAGAAGGCCCTAGAAGTAGTTGGCAAAAGGCTGAAGAAGAATAGTGTCTCTCTTGACATTGTCAATTTCGGGGAAGATGATGATGAGGAAAAGCCTCAGAAACTTGAGGCCCTCCTTACTGCTGTCAATAACAACGACGGTAGCCACATTGTTCATGTTCCATCTGGAGCCAATGCTCTCTCAGATGTCCTTCTCAGGTACCATCCATTTTCTTCTTTCACTCCTTTTTTCTACTTTATCTAGATTCTAAATGGAACAGTTTATACAATATCCGGGTTGGGAAGGGCCTTGCATGTGGTTTGCTGTGTTTAGGTCTTTTGAGCTCTCTAGTCTTGCTTTTTATCGCTCATTTAAACAGTGATTTTGAATCATAGATAGTGTTTTAACTTTTAAATTTTCTTCCAGCACACCTGTCTTCACGGGTGATGAGGGTGCAAGTGGGTATGTTTCTGCGGCAGCTGCTGCAGCTGCAGCAGGTGGGGACTTTGACTTTGGTGTAGACCCAAATATCGATCCAGAGCTTGCTCTCGCCCTTCGGGTCTCCATGGAGGAGGAGAGAGCAAGACAAGAGGCTGCTGCTAAGAAGGCAGCTGATGAGGCAGGTCAGAAAGACAAAGATGGGGACACAGCTTCCGCCTCACAGGAGACAGTTGCTAGGACAACTGAGAAGAACGCTGAACCAATGGTTAGTTTTAACTTAATTTGTCCGCTGTGATGTTTTAAAATTGAGTGTAGCATTCTTATATAGTCACAGGCAGAGAGATTGTTAATCATTAAAAAATTTTGTGGCAGGATGAGGACAGTGCGTTGCTAGATCAGGCAATTGCTATGTCTGTAGGTGATGTGAATATGTCAGAAGCGGCTGATGAGGACCAGGATCTGGCTTTAGGTAAGTAGAGCAGTGTGGTAAAAGTATATCCATGGCAATCAAAATTTGCTTTTTCTTGTAAAAAAAGGAACAACAATCAGAAGATATATTTGATACCTTTGGGTGTTCTGATGAAAGACCCTTGTATGTTTTTATACTCCATGTGCAGCTCTGCAAATGTCAATGAGTGGGGAAGAGTCAAGTGAAGCTGCAGGTGCTGGAAACAACCTCTTGGGAGATCAAGCCTTCATATCGTCTGTTCTCTCATCGGTAAGCTTACATAAAAACCACAGTCAGGATTTTTCACAAGAAAAATGAAAGAGAAAAGTAGTAGTGGTAGCTTTGGTACTAAGTCTTTGTGAACACGCAGCTTCCTGGGGTAGATCCAAATGATCCAGCGGTTAAAGCGTTGCTAGCGTCTCTGCCAGACGAGTCAAAGGTGCGTCTTTGTTGTTGTTGATGATTACATCTTTTTTTTTGTTATTTGATAAAGAAGATTCTGATAAATGTATCTGGTTAATAAAATGGCGGCAGCGGAACGAGGAGGAAGAGAGTAGTAGCAAAGGTGAGGATGAGAAGAAGTGAAGAAGGAAGAGAGAGGTCTGAATAAAAATTCCTCTTGTTTCTTTGGTTTGATAGAGATTGGGACTGATTTTAACTAATCTCTCTGCCTTATGTACTTTGTTTTCTCTCTCTCTCTCTCGCACTTTTTATAATGTTGTTATTGTACGAGTCAAAGGACTAGCTTCCTTCTTAATTTTTATCAGACTTTATGTCAAATGGGCTCTTAGAAAGTAGGCCTGTTTATTACCGATCTCGATCATCAATTCAGTAGAAAATGAGTCCTAAATTCGTAATGAACTTCATCAGAGGGTCCAACCTTTACACAAGTGTACAACTTGTCAAAATTTGAAAATTTCTTACGACAGTGCAATAGAATAGTCTACAATGGAATTTAAATTTTTCTCACATATCTGAGAATTTAGTTTTTCAAGTAATCATTTGAACGTACGCATGTTAGTCTGCTAATTAACATATGTATTAGTCTGCTAATTGCAAGCTGTAATTGGATCATTTTTACGTACATGTAAACTACGCTACACAAATTGAATTGCTAAAAATTTTGTATGTGAAAATGAACTACTATATACTAAGTAGACAAGTGCCATCGTTAAGACTTTTTTTCCGGAAACTGATTAGTGAGAAATTTTCTTTGTTCCCTTTAAGAGGAAGATAGGGAAAGACAAAAAGAGTCACAAGACTCGCAAACTGTAACATTAAAAAAGAAAAGAAAAACTGATAGAAGCTTCTATTGCATCTACCTAACACCTTTTGAAAAAGTCGTTTTTAAAAAAGAAGAAGAAGAAGAAGAAGAGGAGGAGGCAGGTGCGTCTGTCTTTGTTAACTTGTGTGGTCATCGTTTTGTCCTTTTCCCCTTTTTCCTTATCTTCAGTTCTCACCACTCCTCTCTCCCATCTCTTTCCTTTCCAAATTTCATTTCTACATTTTTCTTTTGTTATTCCTTCACTTTCGAAATATTTAATCCACCCACTCTAAAACTGTTCAATCTCCATGTTCGAAATTACTCAAACGTTTTCATTTTTATTTCAGACCACACCTGATTTCGAATTTTTACAAAGATCTACTTGTTTTTTTTTTCAATTTTGATATTTTAATTTAATTCAACCTGAGAAATGTCTTATTGTTGAGTTCGTATGTTCATCAGAATGGTATATATCAAACCCCAGTGCGAGTTATAACAACTTGTGATTTAAATATTGGTGATCATATCATTTCTTTTTTTTTTTTGGGCAAAGTGATCATATCATTTCTTAAGAGATCTATTATATAGGCTGAGTGAGATCGTACCAATATTTTGGCCTAAAAAAACAACTGGAGTGTATAACCATTTGATCGATTTTACATTTAAATATGTACGAGAGAAAGAAAAAGATATCAATGATTTTTGGATTTGAGATGAGAATGTAGTAGCTAGAGGGGGTCTGTAGTGTTGGGGTGATCAACGAACATGTCCGCCACCGATTTTACCAAGCATCTTACGATAGAGCAATGTTTTACTCTACCAGGCACTCTTTCTATAAATTCAAGCATGTGGCTACATTCAATGAAACTCCTATACATTATTATGATATGCATGCATGTGTCAATTATATATCTATATATGCATGCATGTGGTATGTGGATATACAAGAGTATATGAATGTTATGCATGTGTGTATTCATGTATGTATGTATGCAGATGTGGATCGCATGCAAGTGGACAAAAGATGAGGAAAGGTTGGTATATAGGTTGGTAGGGAGATGGGTAGTGAGAAATAAATAGAGTTTGGTAGAAGAAAGGGTCCATTGGTTGTTGCTTCCTTTCCTTCATTTATGGTTTCTAATTTTTTTTGATTTTTCATATATATCTCTCTCTTTCCTTTTTTTATCTTAAAAACATTTAAGTTTTCTCCTACCTCCTTCTCTTACAACTTATCTATCCGTGCCAAATTAACTACAAACATCACTTTCCACTTGTCATGAAACATTTGGATTTGTTTTGAATTTCACGTTCTTCTCCTAGATCTTTAATTATAGATCTTAACAAGGTATCATCATCTCTAGTAGTACAATCTAAGTATTATGTGATGAAGTATCTTTGCCATACTCATAATCTTTTTTCTCCTTATTTGGCTTATCTCCAACATTGGATAACGAGTTATTTCGGCAACAAACCTCTCTTACCTCATAAACTAATAATCCTAATCGTATTAAAAATTTCTACGATTTTAAAAATATTCTTATCGAATAGAGATCGATCTACAATCTATATGTGTATTTAAACATTGAAAAACTATCAAACTAGCTTCCTTATTTTTCTATGGATAATTTACCACCGATCGTCTAGATCCGGTATTTAATAGTTCTGCAATGAAGATGATTTGTATAAAATATTTTCTACATTTTAAAATTCATCAACAGTTAAATTTCTCATACAAGTTGAAGAAGATTTACTTTGAAATTATCTAGGCAAAAGTTTTGTACAGTTACGCCTAAATTTGACAATATTAATTATTTCATCTCCAAGCTTCGAAACCCCAAAAGAGAAGTGGTCTCTTTCTTTGCCAACCCTAAAAAATCAAATCCCTTGCTCAAGTCACTCCCCTTGCTGCTACCGCCAACTACATCGCATCTCATTCTTCCGCATCTGCACTCCATGCCGTTTATCATCCCTAAGCTGCACTTAAAACAACGAGGCGTTGTTGACTTTCCGTGTCCCACCAAGCCTTGACGACGATCAACATCATCAGGAAGACTGATTCTGAGCTCAAGATTCAAATCTGGGAACTTTTCTTCAACTGGGCACTCGTCTTTTTCCTCTTTGAACGTAAGCATTGAGATTTTCTCTGATTTTCCAGGAAAACTTATACTCTCATGGAACGTTTCAACCTTTGGAGTAGAAGTGAAGGAGATATTAATGGTGTTACTCGTAACTGGTTCTAGTTGTGTAGGTTTAGAATCTTGAGAAGCTGATGATTCTTGGATTGGTCTATGAGTCGTTGGATCAATCCCTCTGTTTATAAGCTTTCTTCGTATATGTGTGTTCCAGTAGTTCTTAATCTCGTTATCTGTTCTTCCCGGCAATCTCCCGGCAATAAGCGACCATCTATATATCAACAAAAAATAATATCATTTAGACATTGAAACTCCAAGAATTTTTTTTTGTATATATATTAAAAACGATACTATTTTTTTTTTTGTTTGTATAAACGATACTAGTTAATAAAGCCCATAGAGAGTATAATACTCACTTGTTGCCAAGAAGGCTATGGAGCTTGATGATGAGCTCGTCTTCTTCCTCGGTGAAGTTTCCACGCTTAAGGTCAGGCCGGAGATAGTTGATCCACCGGAGACGGCAGCTTTTGCCACACCGAAGAAGTCCGGCGGCTTTGGGGAGAGATCTCCAGCAGCCTTCTCCATGAGCTTTAATGTAAGCTATAAGCCTCTCATCCTCTTCTTTCGTCCATGCTCCTTTGTTTGTGTGAGCTTTCTCACAACACGGTGACCTTCCCATACTTTTTTTTTTCTTTCTTTCTTTTGGTTTAGATCTTATTTCTTGATGTGAATTGATACAAAATCTTATATATATATAGGCAGTATGATCAATTCTTCTTGTTATTTTATTATATATATATTGAGGATTGGCTTTTAGTGAGGGTTTTGGCTAAAAGGGTATAAAGGGATTAAGTTGTTTTTTTGTGTAGTGGAAGAGGATTGAAGCATTTGGTGGGGCACTTGGATTTTGGGTTTGGTTGAAGGTTCAAAGCTTTGGTGTATAGTTTATATAGGGTTTTGACTTAAAGCTAGAGAGGGATATACACACATATATAGTTATATACAAAATTGCTTCTAGATGATAGGAAAAGGAGAGAGAGAGAGAGTTGAACTTATAATTGCTTCTAGATGTGAGTTGGTGGGATGGATTTGAATGAGTAGTGTATGGTGGCCTTTCGTTTTGGTACAATAAGTGAGAAGCTTGACATATATGGCATCATAGTCTTTTGAGAAAGCTATGACATTTTTTTTTTATAATCATGTCAACAATTTTAATATTTATCGCTTAAAATATATATAATCAAATAAATTGCTCGTGTTTGTATATAATAACAACTGTATATATATAATCAAAAACTATTTAGCTAATTCTTTTATTTTATCTTCCCTTTTTACTTTGCAATATGTTGTTATTTTGTACAAATTATAAACCAAATTGTCAAGACATTAATCAATATATGACAATTCAACTGTGTATATTTATTGACAAATCGATCTTTTAACTTCAACTGATTTAGCACAACCAATACATTTTGTCATCTCTTTTGTATCATATGAGTTAGTTTGTAATAAAATTATGAAAGAAGTTCCTTTATCAAAAAAATATATATTATGAAAGAGTATCGCATAAAACCTGAAATTCAGTAAAACAGAAAGTTTATCAATGGCTTTTATCGCCTGCAGATATTATAGGTCACAAGTAAAAATTTGGTCTAACAAAGAAAGGGGATACTTAAAAGAAGAATTTGGTAGCAATAATGAAGAGGAGAGATAATTAAGTTGTGGAGGTAGGTGGTAAAGTTAATGAGTGTTTTTGGACAAGTGCAGGTCAACTATAAGCCCTCTGTGTTTTTTTGTACTGGTCAACAGTCTTTTCTCTAATATATAGACTGCACTGGATTAATTATTGCTTCTTTTTTTTAATCAATAATATATCTAGATCTTAACCCTAAGGGCATATGCAAGGGTGCATCTTTGAAGATTGATCTTAAGGATGAAATAATATTAAAATATTGTAAGAGCTCTAATTTAGATCTTTTGTAAAACAAGTGATTATTGGTAGAACATGATTAGATCTTATGAATTAATAATTTAATAATCAAAAACTTTAAATGTTTTTTAAAAATTACAAAAATTATTTTTAAAATTGAAAACATTAAAAACTAAACTAAAATTTTGAAAATTTATATGTTAACAAGTAAATTTTACTTGCATCACAATACTAAAGAAGAAATCAGCTGTTGCTGCTGATGGTGGAAGCTTTGCATCATCAAGTCGATTGAAGCTTCGGAGACGGTGGTGATTGTAACGGCGAAGATGACGGTGGCCGGATTTGCATCTCTTTTCTTTCTTTTCTTTTTTTTTTCTCCTCAGAACTGGTCAATCCTATGATTTCGCCAAATGATTTCGCCAAATGATTTCGCCATTGATTTCGCCAAATAATTATTGCATCTCTTTTCTTTCTTTTCTTTTTTTTCTCCTTCTGATTTTGCCATTGATTTGAGACGAGCCGGAGCCGGAGACAGAGAGACGGGAGAGAAAAACAAAACGAAAAACAATTTCCGTTAACAAAATTCGAACCAATCCCCGGGTGCCACGTGGCCACAAGAACGGGCTTAGATCAGTTCTAGCCGAAGACCAGTTCTCATGTTCTAAACCCACTTGTCCAACATTTTATTATTTTTTTAACCTAAGATCAGGCCATTAGTTGGCCCGATAAACATGGTCTAATACAATCACTTGCTAATTAAACATAGCATTATCAAATAACTAATTATATGTGTGGGCTGGGTAACTTGTAACTTATATATGGTTTTCAAATATCTCTCACCAAATGACAAGCACTTCATGTTTACAATATTTGTGATGATGCTCGTGTTTCTTTAATATAAAATTTCAGTATAAAAACAATACCAACAAGAACCACTATGACAAATACATATGAATTATATATACATATATGATAAACTATTTGAATAAAAGAATGTGCCTTCTAGAACCTTGACTTATAATGGTTTTTTCTATTTAACCAACTTCTCATTAACTTTTATTATTAGAGACTTGAAAACCAAGACTTAAGAGATCTTTTTGGGACAATGTTAAACTTTCACTGGACGGAATATTTTATCACTAATCGTATCTATTATGTATATTTTTTTAGAATACAATAAAACTAATCATATATGTTGTAAGTTTGTAATTCGTATGTCGGAGAATAATTAAATTGTAGTATCTACTGTCCATGTATGCTTACCCGTCGTATGCTAAACAAAAAGTTGAACTAAATTGTGAAATTTGGTAAGTTAGGTGGAAAATGTGAGAAGATACGAAAAAGAATAATGGTTTATTGAAAAAGATGGAAAAAACGAAAAAGAGAGAGTAGTTGAATTTCAATTTGTTTAATCTATTGGTAGACAATCACTCACCTCATGCATGATGATCGCTCTTCTAGAAGGTTAGGTTCTCAGCTAAAGGCCAAGATTCTTCAAGGCCTTAAATGGTAACATGAAAACATAATTCAGCTGGATTCAGCCAGATTCAGCAATTCCGCAGTTACCATTTGCATAAAACTGAATTCAGCTAGATTCAGCAGTTTTTTCAACACCAACAGATACGTAGTATGTTTATTTCAGGTAAAAATTCGGATTATAGCGATTACACAACTCGAATTAAAATATTTTGGACATAAAAAATTACACATCAAATTTATATTAAAATAAGTTAGATCATACAAATACGATATATGAATAATTCAGATACATAAAATCATTACCAGAATAGACAAGAAAGAAATTTATGTTCCGATAACTATAGATTATTTTAGATAATTTTAATTACTTTGAGATAATTAAATATAATTTTTAAAAAATTTCGCAAAAACAACTCATACTAATGCTAAAATAATATTTAAATATCAATTTTTAAAAAAAAATTCATAATCATCCTAATCATATTAATGATTTTAAACTACTCGAGAACAATGAGAAATCAATTAGATAATCTATACTATATTATCATGTTTATTTTTAAATTAATTTTTCAATAAAACTTTGACAAGGCTTTTTATTACTAATTACATCTTTTTAATAGTTCAAAAATTAAATTTAGAAGAACAACTCAATTTTGCTAACAATATATTATTAATTTAGAATATATTTATTAGTATAAGAGTTAATTAGACTATTAGATAATTTTATCTATTTTATTTAGATATTCTTTTTAGTTATTCTATTAATATTTATAATTATTTGACGATATTTTTTCAGTTAAAGTTTTAATTATTTTGACAGATTCAACTAGATTCAGCTAAAAATCACAAAAAAAAAATCAGCTAGATTCAGCAGTTACCATTTGAAAATGTAAAAATTCAGCCAGATTCAGCTAAAAATCACTAAAAATTCAGTCAGATTCTGCAATTCAGCCGGATTCAGCCAGATTCCTCGGTTACCATTTAGACCCAAATCATCAACAAAAGTTTATTTACATTTGAATCCAAATCAAACCCCAAATCACTTTTTCACATTCACTAGATACCCTAATTATTTTATTTATTGCTCTTTCTAAATTTTGTCTTACAACTAAATTAGAAGAGACAACTTCGTATTATTGTTTTATGAAAAACCAAATGAATAAACACTACTTCATGCAAAACGTTTTTTAACATCATGGGAGGATTGTTGTTCAGGTAAATTATTCTTTCTGTTGGTGGTTTTTTTTTTTTTTTGTAATAGAATAATATAAGTTATTACTTATTAGTAGTACTAATGGGATTGTAAATGACGTAAAGGAAATAGTTATGTGCTATACTATATAAAAAAAATAGTATGTCACAAATATAATATAGAAGCGATATCAAAATGTACTAATTAATTTGTCTATTTCTTGAAGTAAATATAAGATAAGAAAAAAGAGTAGGATATTTCTATTATTTAGGTTGCTGCCAAAAAAAAAAAATTATATTATTCAGGTCCGTATGCGGTTGGGGACGTGGGTTTTGGTTCACCTTCCACTTTATTATTGTTATTTTAATAATGGATTCCTTTGGTTTATACTATTTAATTTAAACTTTGCGTATTAAGATGCAAGAATTAAGATTATACCTTGATCTCAAGGTAAAAATACACTAGATTGACGACCAAAGAATAAGTTTAGTTACCCATAACAGTTGTGAAAAACTGATAAGAGTCTTTAATTTCAGCAGAGTAAGAGTACGATACCACTACCATGATCTGTTTCCCTTACGAGACGTGAAAATAAGGTGGATGGTTGGTGACGGTGGATGAATAATTATATACATAACTTGTCACACAACACCACAAATATATCTACTAATATATAGAGTGGAATATAATAGGGATAGAGAGGTCCATATCCACCAAGTGTAAATAAGTGTGAAGGTATTTAATTGTGCGTGTACATCTTTTTTTTTTTTTTGTAGTTGAGATTTTTTCAATTGTTTGCCCATCAATTTTACCATTTGTTTTCCTGTTAATTGGTAAATAAAATGTTTGATAGAAACCACTAGTGGAAAAAGAGAGATAACAATACGATAAGCCAAATTAACCGAATCTTGTGTTTAACGAATAAACTAGATTTGGAATTAGATTCCCCGCGCTATCTTATACTATAATTAATGTTGGAAAATCCGTTTTATTTAGTATTTAATTAAAAGACGGAACTTGTGTAAGAAGAAACGGAAAAAATGGTCTTATCAGTGTTATCTATCTATCACACACGCGACAACAAATTTGAAGTGCAAAAACATAAATTTCCGCTGCCAGATAGTT